TATTGTTTTTGATCAGTAAAACAACTTATTCTTATTCTGTTTTTTTTTATTATAAATTTTGAAAAAAGCTTATAAATATACACTTTTGAATTTGACATAAGATGACATACTTTCAATAAAGTTACATTCAAAAGTTACAAAAATGCCCCTTGTAAATCACTTTATGGAGTCAAATATTACCTCTTAAATGATTAATTGATTATTGATCAGAAGGTGCTGCTGAATTTTTTTTTTCTGTGCTCCACAAGTGCTCCTAAAAATAAACGTAAGTGTAGAGCCCTGCATACATTTATCTCTCTTAATCACTTGTTTGGATTGGTAAAGGTCTATGATTTCAGGACTGTGTGCACACTGTGTTACATTAGAAAAAAAAAGGATGACAGTTTTTTTTTTTAACCTGTCTGCTTATGATCAGATCACTTGAATCCAAATGCTAAACATTAAGCCTGTGATGATTGGGGGAATTTTTTTAACTTTTAAAAACATGAATAATTGTTCTATAGGAATTTCTGATATGAAGGTTTCTTTGTTTTACTTTAGCTTTGCAGACTAGGTTATACACAGTAATTGGGAAGATGATTGCTGTGTGTGTTGTCCATGGAGGAGTTGGCCCACATTTCTTCTCTGAAAGGCTTTTTCAGCAGATCTGTGGTATGCCAACATCCTCTGCCTCGTTGGATGAGGTTGGAGATCATACATTGAGGGAGCAACTAATCAAGGTGAGGAGATGCTTAAGAATTGAAATAAGTTAACCAGTTAATACTTATTTTAAGAGAAGAAGCCCCCCCCCCCACACACACACAATTGCTTTTTTTTGGAACTGTTTTAGATACAGGAAGCAACATCTGTTCTGGAGGCAAATTGTGCCATTGCAGAGGCAGCAGACAGTTTAAGTATCATTGGTGCCTTGAGATATGTATCAAGCCTGACAGAAAATAACTCTCTTGTCCAGTCGGCTGCAGAGTTCTTTGTGAATGGAAGACTGCAAGCTGCCTTGGAACAGTAAGTGCCTTTCCTTTCCTGACAATATATATCAGCATATATCATTAGCTTGAAACTTATTTTGAATGCTTTGTTTGTTACACAGGTTTTCAGAAGGGTTGCAAACTCTTGGTTTACTGGATGAGATGCAGAAAAATTCTGCATTGTTTTATGACATGTTTGTTAGTGATGAGAAGCCCCTCCAGGCAAAGGACCTCTGCAGTCTATTTAATGTAAACTTCTCCCCACAAGGCAGCAACAGGAGGGCTAGAGAAAACCAGACCATATGCCACTGGAGAGACTGGTTGATAGATGTTGAAGGTATGTCATGATTGTTACTTTTTTTAGGGAGTAACGCAATATTGTAATGCATTACTTTTAAAAGTAACTTTCCCCAACACTGGTTTTTGGTAGCTTTAGGTAACTTTTTTTTTGTTGTTAAAATTTATATAATGAGCAAGTACATCATGAATCCATCTTCAAAACTGCATGTCTTATCCTGAATCACTATGACTATATAGTAAGTGTTTATATTCAGACTGTTTTGATCCAAATGGGACGCCAACCTCCCAGTACCTGCATGACTTTTATACATAAACAGAGAGAAATAACTTTCGCTACACTGTTATTGCACAAGACACATGCAGTTTTATTAATCGCTAGCGTGC